CTTAAAAACACTGAAGCCACTTACCAAACAACTATGACATGTATCTTCCATGATACGTTGCACAAGAAGATTGAGTGCTATGTGGATGACGTGGTAGTGAAAGCCAGGCATAAAGGTCATAAATGTTTTGAGAAAAGTGTTGGCAGTATAACCTGAGGATGAATCTTGCAAAGTGTGCATTTGGTGCAAAATTGGGCAAACTTTTAGGGTATTAGGTATACTGCAGAGGAATAGGTATACTGCAGAGGAATCCATCATGATGAAGCTAAATTTAAAGCAGTAGTAGACATGCCCCGCCCTACCAATGAAAAGCAACTCTAGATATACTTAATGTGCCATATTTACAAAGATTTATACATGTACTTGCAGTCACTACAATTCTAGTAATGAAACTCACAAAGAACACCCCTTTCCAATGGGCATTGAGCATGAACAAGCATTTCAACAAATTAAACAAGTCCTGAACCTATAGGCTGTTTATTGGACTAGGAGTTTAGGTTGTATATTGACACGAGTCCTGAACCTGTAGGCTGTTTATTGGACTAGGAGAATGAGGAGAGGCAGGAGTGCCCCATTTATTATGCTAGTCAAGTCTCAAAGGATGCTGAGCAAAACTACATAGATATGGAGAAGCAATGTCTAGCCTTGGTATTTGCAACACTAAAGTTCAGACATTACCTTTTGGAACACGAAGTTCTCTTGGTCATAACAAGCGATCCTATTAGGCATTTCATAGACAGACTACCATTATTAGGATGAGTAGTTAAATAGCTCATGCAGCTTAGCGAGTACTCCATCAAGTGCATTCAACCTAGAGCTATGATCATTACAGAGGAGATACCAAGGGAGATTCCATTAGTTGCTATGGTGCAACCATGGAAGAATCATAGTGGTTATTATATTTTGGTGGGTCTTTTACCACAGTTGATGGAGGAAGTGCTAGAGCAAGAATCTGATCTATAATTTTTGGTTCCAACCTATAAACCCAACCCTTTTTACCAATTGCTTTCATGTCCTGAACATGCTCATTGGCAATAAGAATTTGATTTGGTCTATAATCTATGATACAAGAAATTTCTTATCTTGTTTTTATTACTATTTTTTTCTTCTTTCAAGTAGATCTATCAGTATAGAGCATGGATGTCAGAGTCAGACACATTAAGAAACTTTAATGTGCAATATTGTTATTACATTTTTTCAATAACAAAGATTTAAGAAAGCATGAGATTTGTCAGTACCCAACAACCAGATAGATCAAAGGAATCCTATCATGGCTTAATTTCTTTAAGCTACAAGATCACTTATATGCCATAGTTGTGTGTAAGGTTGCATGTAACAATATACACAACATAGACAAGGAATATGGCTGCCTCTCCTTATTCTTGTTTATTTCTTGTGCACTACTCTGCTCATTCATCTCCTAAGAAATGTGTTTTTCAAGGAGCAGCTGCCAATTTGCTGGATTTAACACTGAAGTAGATGATGTCATCATAAACCAAATTTGGTCACGTGCTGGGGAGTTCTTTCCCTCTATAAGAGAACTATCCTTGGCTGACTTCACTAAGAGCAGGAAAGTGAGAGTAGAACTATCCTTGACACACAAATGCAGGTAGGTTACCCTTCTAAACGCTTGAATTGAGGTTCATGGAGCAAGCATGAAGAAATGCAGGTAGGTCACTAAAAATAAAATTTTTGTATCCAAATTTAACATAAATGTATGCCACCTTTCCTACAGAACACCATAAGCATTAGACAACAAATATAAAATTGTAGACCATTTTCCATAGGCACATGATGTTAGAATTAAAAAATATATGGATTTTTTATTAATGTATACTTTTCTTTGGATGCATCAAGTCTTTTTCTGGTCTTGTAAGACAAACTCCTGGACATGATTGGCTTGTGACTCCCCTGCTATTAGCCCTAGTGATACATATGCCAACATCTACTAGGTGACAAATTATTCAGAGATTTGGAATTTAGAGTAGCATTAGTTCCATTTCTTGTTGTCTTGTTAATTCCAACATATTTTGCCCCAACTTTTCAGGCACTGGGAACCGTTGAGTTGGTTGCTGATATGATATTGGGCAACACATTGAAAGTTGATAATGCACCATTCTCTGTTCAGGGTCGATGTTGTAGGTGATCATGGTTCCTTTATTCTAAAAAAAACATGTTTCCTTTGGGGGGGGGGAGAGAGAGAGAGAGAGAGTAATGCATGCTTTCACAACTGACCATCATGTTTCCTTTGTGATGGTTGCAAGCATTAAGTAGGCATTTATCAAAGGATCCAAAATGGAAAGAAGAAAAATAACGTGAAAAATACCTGGCCAGGTTTTGCATGCCCTGTCCCCAACCCCGAACTTAAATGCCCTGCCCAAACATCCATCACTGTCTCCACAGAGAACAGGGAACCCTGAATTTGCCCCACCATGCCCCTGTTACTCTTGCATATTTGTAATTTTATTTTTTGAAACCTACCTAAAACTATTTTATATATATGATATAATATGGTATAATATAATATATAATATATTATAATATAACATAATATATATTAACATGTATTAACAGTTTTATATATATTATGTCATACAATACAGTCAAGGCAGGTTTGGGGTGGGGTGGACAAATACTATCCCTGCCCAGCCCCCGATCCCCAGATTCTTGGGTTTTCTGAAAACCCGCCCCAAACCCTGATCAGTGGTCAATTTACTCTCACCCCAATCGGGGCGGGGCGGAGTCCCACAGTACAAGTCAAATTGCCATCTCTAGGCTTTTGAGTTTTCCTTGTTTCTGCTTTCCGGTTTATAAGTGATTTGAGTTGCCTTGTTTTAATTGCAACTTTGCCCTATTTTCAATTCTCCATGTAACACTTTTATCCCTAACATTTCTCACCTCCTACCAATGAAGATTGTCTATGCCATGGTTTTACTCGCACAAGTGAGAAAACACCTGCGTTAGGGAACCACTTTCACTTTCCATTTTTTTCTCTCGGTTTTCCTCTCAGTCTACCTCTCAAGATTTTTTCTCGAATCCCCTCCCACCCTCAAACTTTTATTGTCATTTTCTTTTTGGGGAGCCCCCTGGGGCGATTCCCCCTCCCCATGTCCTGCTCTGCCCCCCACCCTCCTATTCTTCTTCATTTCATCTTTTTTTTTTTTTTTGGTTTTTCCCATGCTTATTCTATTCCGCTTTAATTTCTTATCTCCTTTTATCCTCTTGATACTTTCTTGTCATTTATAGTTTTCTTCCTCGTCTACTCAATTTCTCATCTTTCGTTCCCATTTTCCTTTCTTCTTCCATCTTTTTCCTTTTTGTTTTCCATCTATTTTCTTTTTGTTGTTTAATGTAGGTGGTTATTTCTCTATTTGGTGCTATTTTTGGTGGAATGTATGTTCTATTTGCTGCTGATGCTTGTGATTTCTATTGGTCATAGTTTCCATATTGCTAAAGATTGGCATTCACCGGCCATCTTTTGTACCGGCGGGTGGTTGTATTGTCCTTTTGTTTGCTGATTTATGTGGGCATGGTCCAACTTTTTCAGCCAATTTTGGGTTGTGGTTGGTTTGGTTAATGACTTTTAGAGTTCTACCTTTCTACAGTTTTTTTGGGTCTCTACATGCTTGTGGTTGGAGTGGTGCTGATTTATGCATCTTCTGTTGGTGGTTTGAGTACCACCACTAGGCATACCTCATGCCTCATGTGTATGTTGCTTGCAGGAGTCTAGTTTACTATTCTCCACCATTATGTTTTTTTTTTTTCTTTTCAAGAATTTATATTTAGATTCTCTTGCTTAGCAATTTCCTGCCATTTTATACTTGTTCTTGAATGAACAAAATCTGCCTTTAGGCCTTCTAGAAAAAAAAAGGCACCTAAATTGCAGATGATATGATGGTAGGAAGAAAACATATGAGGTCTACTTTACATGTATGTAGATTCTCTTTTGAGCATGGGTTTCCTCTTTTTTATTTTGTATTCTTTTGGGATGTTACACTATGCACATTACAAGGGGTCCATGGGGTGGGGGCAAAATAAAGTGCATTTTAGGAGTGAGCAAATGGGTTGGTTCTACCCAGAATCAAATGAAATTGGCCTCGAATCAACCCTACCCCCACCCTGGTTGGTTCCAAGGGTTGGGGGCTACCCTACTTGAAACAATTTGAAGAATCGGCCTTGATTGACCTTGGTCGATAATTTTCCTTAAAATAAATCCCAAAATACTTTGAGGATGTGAACATTTGCACCCGAGCACTCCTATATTTACAAAGATCATGGTTTCACTTGACCATTGAGCCACTTAAGTGATTTGATAATTTTCTTCAATTTAATATTTGAATATCTAATATAAGTAATGTAGAAGGTAAAATTTACAAAGTTTAAATTATAATGTCTATACTATTATAAAGTCATTTAAAATTTACAAACTATATATTATTATGATTACTAAAAAGTCAAGTTTAAACATTTTATGATTGTGATTTTTAATCAATAATATATCTATACTATTATAAAATAGATACTTGCCCCAGTTTTGGTGCAGATCATAAAAGTTAAATTTGAATATATAATATCAATTTATATCTTTACCTTTTACTTGCACAAGTTTCATAGAACATGCCACTACATTAATATTAATGATAACATTATCAATGATGCAATTTGTGATTATGTAATTATGTCACAGTTCCAATTTTTAATGTTATCCATTCAGCTCTAATGTTGTATTGGTTAGTGTTTTAAAAACTGACCTAGAGGGTGACCCATTTTTTATATGTATAATTTTTATTTTTTAGAAAAAAAACTTGGCTTGTAATCGAACTCAAGCCAAACCGAATTCGAGCTTGAGCCCAACACAATTTCAGCAAGCCAAATCAAATAGCCAAGTATTTGGCTTGACTTGGCTCGAATCCACCCCTATTTATGGATATATGTTCAGTCTAATAATAAGGTTTCTGAACGTGATGGAAGAGAACATCCACAAGAGGATTTTGGAATACCTCCAAGAACATTGATCTTGAATATTGGCGAGATGACATTTTCCAATCCATACCGGCTTTCATCATTGCCTCGAATTCTTCATAGCTGATTCGACCATCCTACAAAAATCAATAAATCAAACGAAACAAAACAGATGTAACCTGTCAGACAACAAAGAACTTTGCACGAGATTGTTATGAAGATGTATAACAGATATTTCTAGATTCACCTTGTCTGTATCAACATCGGAGAGTATGTCTCGAATCACCTGCTCATTGTCAGGGCCAAGGTCATCCTCTAGTAATGCTTCTCTCAACTCTTCATACTCAATAAACCCACTATCGTTCTTGTCGAACAAATTAAAAGCTGTGGACAGATGTTCTTTACTGCTAATTCTTTTCAGGTGAATGGAGATTGTGACGAAATCCTCATAGTTCAGAGTGCCACTCCCATCAATGTCCTCCTATGAGCATCATGACAGTGATTACTCAGGGTGGATGATAGATGATAAAAATATAGCTAAGTACAAGAAAAAGAAAAGTATTGCACAAGCTGCTTCAATGAAAAACAGAAAAAAGTCAGTATGGATGGGTTATAGAATCCCAAGTAACCGAAATGTGTAATGGAGTCTGAGCATAAGAATGTCCATTTCAAAAAGTCAGGGATCTTATCAAATTTTCTTTCCTTCTTTAACCATCTATAATTTGTTTGTTCTTTTTCTTCTTTCTTTTTTTTTTATCAATAACAAAACTTTCATTAACCAATCAGAATAGTTAATTATACAAAGGGGGAGATAAACTCTCTTAACTCCCCAGCAGAGGCATGAACCCCCACAATGAGAAAACCAGAACTACAACTGAGCCCAAAATATAGATTCCCTGTCCACCCCTAGCTTAGCTAACGCATCAGCAAACGAATTAGCAGATCTCTTCACCCAACTGAACTTTGTTTCCATGTCCTTAACCAGCCATCTGAATTTTCTCCTTCCGTTGTTGTAGTTCCAAAATCCAGCCTTGTTTTCTTACAGCTACCCTACCACCATGTCTGAATCCCTTTCAATTGCAAGCCTTCTAATGTTCATATCCTTTGCTCTTTGGGTACCTTCTAAGACAGAAAAGATCTCAGCCCTAAGAGAGTCACCGCTCCTGACTGGGCCGGAGAATAGAGCTAAAACAGTCCCATTATCATCCCTAAATACGCCCCCTATACCTGACTGCCCAAGATTCCCTCTACTACTACCATCAAAATTCAGATTTATAAATTTAGTGGGGGAGGGGTCCAAGACAGACTTAAACCCGTTTTGACCAGGGCACTGCTAGCAATCTCTCTCCAATTCCTTAGCAGATCATCCACAGTAAAATCTGTGAATAGGTCCGATGATTTCAGCCACTGAATTACCCTGATGTGAATCAGTTCTATCAAATTTTCAAACTGACCAGCACACCGCAGCCCTTAGGCATTTCCACATAGTTCTGCCCCTTTTCAAATGCCACCTGATAAAAGAAGAACAAAAAAGGCTCTGCACATCTACAGGGGGTTCCACTCAAGCCTGAAGAGAGAAAAGGCCCATTCCCAAATAGTTTTGGCAACCCGGCAAGAAATCAAAAGGTGAAAACCAGTCTCCCCATCATCTTTACAAAGAATACACCTATGAGGAGATAAACAAGTCTTGGGTCTCTTTCTTTGAAGCAGAACACTAGTGTTGATTCTATTCAGAAATAATTCCCAACAAAAACTTCCAACCCTAGGAGGAATTGACTTGCATCAGATCTCTTTAACAGGGAAAGAAAATCCTATAGGATTATCTGGCTGAGTCAAGACTTTAAAGAAGGAAGCACAAGAGAAGGAACCTGATGGAGCGGGGGTCCAAATTCTAGTGTCTTCTTTAGTGGGGTCGAAGAAAACATTTTCAAGAATACCCAGGAGAGCCGAAGTGCTGTTCAAGTCTGCATCTCTAACAGTCCTTCTCAAGCCCAGGTTCCAACCAAACCCAGAAGTTGAGGAAGGGACAATGAAGGAGGATATGGGCTCATTTTTTAGGTCAGAGAGAGCATACAAAGACGGAAACTGACGCTTCAAAGGGGAATTCCCCACCCAAGTCTGTTCCAAGAATTTTATGAGGCTGTCTGAGTTTGAATTATACCTGATTAAAGGGGAGAAGACAGGTAATAAGTCGTGGATGGCTTTCCAAGGTGAAGCACTTGGAGTCCTTGCCAGAGTTCCAACATCCCATCCATTGTCCACTAGCCCATGAATACTTGCCACCATTTTAGCCCATAGCTTCTCCTTTGCTAAAGAAAACCTCCATAACCATTTCTCCAATAAGGCCATATTCCTTTTTCTAATGTTCCCAATCCTTAAACCTCCTGACTCTTACTTCTAATCACCACCTCCCACCCCACTCTATGGTCCCTCTTCTCCTCTCCCGACTCCCACAGAAAGTCTCTCTTCATCTTTTCCAACCTATTAGACACCTTTGATAGAATCTTGAACACTGATAAGTAGATGGGTAAATTGGCTAGGGTGGCCCTCTTAGGGTTGTCTCCCAAAGGTAAGCCAAGATAACTCAATGGTCAACTTGATATTGTGCATCCCAAAAGCTCCGCACATTCTCTGATCTCCCCATCCTCCATGTTAATTCCCACTACACAACTCTTCTCGAAATTCACTTTAAGGTTGGACATTCAATGAGATGTATTACCATTTTCAAGTTCCTAATCCACCTGCACAGAAAAGTATTATCATCTACAAACTGTAAATGAGTAAGTGGGATCTCCTCCCTTCCTAACCTCCACCCTCTTATTAAGTCCCTTGAATCTGCTCTATGAATCAATCGTCCCCGAACCTCAGCAATCAAGGTAAACAAGAATGGAGAGAGTGGATCACCTTGTCATTTTACCCTTATAGCTGGGATGAAATCTACCACTGTCCCATTTACCAACACGGAGTAATGACAGTTCCTAACACAACCCATGATCCATTTACACCACTCTCTTTTTGATCTTTTTGAGATTTTCCACACTTTCATTGGCAATTAATATTTGGTCAGCTATCTGTCTACCCTTCACAAAGGCTCCCTGGTTAGGTGCAATAATATCAAGTAGAATGTGCTTTAACCTCAAAGACAGCACCTTTGCAACTACATTATATAGACTGTTTACCAAACTTATTGGTTTGAAATCTTTTGGATGAGAGGCATCTTTCTTCTTTGGGATCAAAGCAATAAAGGTGGAATTCAACCCAAGCTCAATTATTCCCCTATGAAATTCATCGAACACTAGCATGAGATCCCTCTCCAAGATTTCCCAACAGTCCATTGTGAAACCATCCGGGCCTAGAGCTTTTGTTCTGTCCATAGAAAACACAACTTCCTTTATTTCCTCCATTTCAAACCTCATTTCCAGCCATTGTCTATTTTCTACCCCAACACCTGGCCACTCCAACCCTTCTAACCACACCCTCCCACTTAAAGGCCTTTTGAAGATGGATTAAAAGTGATCAGTAAAGGCCTTTGCTATCTCATCCTGGCAGGTCAAAATTGACCCCTCAACATCCAGTCTTGAGATAGAATTCTTTCTTCTTCTACCAATTGCCACCACATGAAAGAAGCCAGTATTTCTATCTCCGTCCTTTAACCACTTGCATCAAGATTTTTTACTCTAGCTAACTTCCTCCTTGTAAAGACAATCCTCCAACTGCCTTCTCTATTCCCCTCTTTGTTCCTTGTCTCCCTCTTCACATTCTCCCCTTTCCTCTTTCATGTCCAAGACCTCAATCTGATCCATCAAATTTCTCTTTCTTTCTTCTAACCTACCAAACTCCAATAGGTTCCACTCCCTAATCTTTGCTTTCAAGAATTGGATTTTCTTATGAAACTTCATGCCTTCCCACTCCATTGAAGGATTACACTGTTCCCACCATTCTTTGATTTTCTTAGTGAACCCCAGGTGTAGTAGCCACATGTTTTCAAATCTAAATGGAGAAGGTCCTCCACTCCTTGCAAATCACTATCGGCCAATGATCAGAGGTAAGTCTAGGAAGTACTCTAGATGCTAAGCTCCCCCAGTGTTCTTCCCACTCTGTTGAGAATAGGAACCTATCCAACTTTGAACAAATCGGATTCGATTGATGATTAGACCAAGTGAAGGTCTTGTGGGCTAATGGAATTTCTTTAAGTTCATATGTGTCCACAAATAGATTGAATCTCCTCATACTTGTTGTCACCCTATAATTAGGGTTACTAGTTTCTTTTGTGAACCTAACCACATTAAAATCCCCACCCAAACACCAAGGCCCTTCCCATATTCCCTTAACATCACCCAATTCTTTCCACAATTCCTTTCTCTCCCAAAAATCATTTGTCTCATATACATCCGTTGACACCCACTCTCTACTTGCTTGAACTTCACAGATACTAAGTATTTACCAATTAATTACTCCACTCCCACAAGCACATCCCTCTTCCACATTGTTACAATTCCTCTCGAGGATCCCCAAGATGGAGCAGCCACCCAATTGATTCCCCTAGCTCTCCAAACACTTCTTTCCCATCTGCTATCAAAGTACATTCTCTTGGATTCCTAGATTAGCACCACGTCTGGCTTATACATCTTAATCACCTCTTTAATCATTGTTCTTTTCCTTGCACTTCCCAAACCCCTCACATTCCAGCTAAGCATCCTCATATTAACCTTTTTCCTTGCTTCCCTCCTACAATTGGCCTTTACTTCACCCCTTTCCTCCTATCCCCCTTCACTCCAAATTGCTTATCACCTTTGATGTCTCTTCTTAGCCTCTCTACTTCACTCAATTTCCTCTTCTTCGTTTTACTCTCCCCCTTGTGTAGAAAATTTTTTAAGTCATTCAGATTCTTCATTTTACACCCTAATTTTCCTACTTTCATTCCTTTTCTTCTTTTCTCATTGGTTGTAATGCCAAGGACATTCTTCTGTTGATGATTCTTGAGGTACCAAAGAACCTTTAAAAAATTTGATATGAAAGCATTGTAGGTGAATATAACTCCGTAAGGAAGATAGAAATCCAGGTAGAATCCAACAATATACAAAAGCATGCATAAGGTAATCTCACTATAGAGACCACTGATCAAGAAGTGACTTATGGACCTTATGAGGTCAAGAAGCCTAGCTAGGAAGATGCCAAAGATAAAAGGAAGAAATTTATGATGACCTATAAACAAGAAATAATTGGATAATAAAGAAAAGGCTCAGGAAAAGCCCAAGACAAAAACCACTGCCATTAAGCCATCTCAACCTGAAACCTACTAACCAATACACCGTAAACACTGAATGACAAGTGGCTACCCTGGAGAAAAAAAAGACATTTATCCTATTGCAAGTGTGTGAACTAGTAGGGAGTGGCTACTAAAGAGCCAGGTGACAACACAGAGCAGGAAGCCAATCTTAAGGAAGATGATCTGTTGGGGTAGGATGAAATAGAAAACAT